GGGTAAAAAAAAAAAAAACTCTAAAATTTAAAAAAAAAAAAAAAAAAAAAAAAAAAGAAGAAAGAAATTTGAAGGTGAAAGGAAGGAAAGCTTCATTTTTTTCCTCATTTGGAGGTAAACTATGACACACATGCAAAGACTTCAAAAAAGTTAAATTCCATAAAATAGCAATAGATGAATCTAAGCTATGAAGCCTGGCAAGACAAAATTAATAGCTTTGGTATATTAATCTTTATTAGGTCGTTCAGAAAACCCACGTGGGAAAGCATGCATTGCTCTAAGATAGATTCTTTTAGTATTTTTGTTTGTTTGCTACCTTTTCCATTAAAAATCATAAAGAAACACATAAATAACATGGAGATTCCAACTGGGGTTGGAATCCAGCAGACATATCACTTCTTTGTATTGAAGCTGTTAATTTACAAAATCAGTTTTGTATAAAGACAAAAGTGCTGGAGCAAACATGCATTCCAACAGCTTCCTTCACTGCCTGCTGGTTCTAAAGCCAGTGTCATAAAGGAACCAGAAAATTCCAAGAACAACATAAAAAATGCCAAAGCATGAGTTACCATAGATCTCCTTGGAAGACATTCCTGGTCAAAGAGCAGAAAGGAAAGGGGAAAAGGAGAGACACATTAATAACTTGATGGTAATCCCAATGTGTATCAAGAAGCTGCAGCACTGTACTGGGCATAAGTGAATCACTACAGTTCAGATACACAGCAACAAGTTTGTGCTAATTTTATTTCAACAAGCTTTGACTTTTTCTTCCCCTCCAACAGATGGGTGCTTGATTTTCATGCTACAGCATTAGTTATACTACATATTCCCAGTTTCATACCACAGGTGAGGACATCATTCTGAAGACTGTTTACAAACACTGCTGTGCCACTGTGCAGTTATTTTCCCTCTTTAAAAAGCAGCATGGCAGTGCTGTATCAGTGCTGGTGCTGAGCCAGCAACACATAGAACTCCTCTATTACTTCAGAAAATAAATGTGATGCAGCATTACTGTAATCAGATAGCAGTTATTAAATATCTTAAGTGGCAGAAGAGGCAGTGACCAAAAAATGTCAGGCCATGGAATTGCAAATTAATGCACTTTCCAAAGAGCATACCAAGGTGTCGATTTATTAATGCTCTACATGATAAACTTGTTCAAATCCAAGTGACTGAACATGAATAAAGAGCAGGCATGAGACAGGAAGAGCAATGGGAACATTTCAGGTAGGGCACATGGATGGCAGTGACTGGAGACAGGAAACTGGGGACAGTCTAGTAAAGACAGGAACAGGAGGGTTTGGGTCAAATGACAGCAGCTTATTTCTGGAATCTAACCAAAATGGATAAAGGAAACACCCGATGGTGTCTGGTTAGACCTGGTTAGGCTCTGTATTATGTTTATCCATGCATTTCGTACACTTGAGAGGTACAGGCAAGTTTGAACACTTTCATGTGCAACTGTAACAACACTGCCATTGGAACAGCGGTGAGAAAAGCACTGGAGCAATAAAAACACTGCTGACCACATTAGGTGGTGTCTTTATATAATGAGCAGTTAGAATTTTCTTCTGAATCCATGTAACTTCCAGCAATTTTGAATCATGAGACAGAGAACTAAAACCCCTTTTATATTTTTCTAGTCACTTGCTTACACTGCTGCATTTCTGGGGGTCACTTGCAGTGCAGCAAGAGCAGTTTGGGTGAGACTTCATTATTCAGCAAGAGGCTGGACTGGGTTTAAAGAGAGGAACATTCTTGTTCCATGCAGATGTCATGTCTTATTAAAAAAAAAAAAGAAATCTTTAACAGACTATGCCATTACCCACGGGTCTGGCAAGGCTCAGCGAGTGTGTGAAGATCTGCACATATGCTTGGAAACACACATAGAAGCAGATTTGGATTCAGAATCCACCACAGATGTTACCTTTCTTTGTTAAGTAGGTCATGCTGTTTGCAACAGCAGCTGTCTTATCTTTAGACTCCAATGTGGTAAATCGAGCAAAGTCATCCACAAAATGGTTATCTGAGGAAGAGAACAAGCACTAAATGCCAAAGCAACTATTCCATGTAAAATCAAATTAAAATCACTACTATTACCAGAACATTAAGAACACATCCCATTTTGCTCCTTGTGATACGCTTGTGTCTCATTTTCACAGTTAATATATAGGCTGAGAAATGAATTTTGCTGTCTCACAACTTACATTGCATATTGGATAGGGAGAAGTCAGTTGAAAGAATTTCCCAAGTCTCACTTAGTGGACACGAGTGTATATAAACAATATACATTGAAAAATCCACTTTGTCACTATTTTTCAAGCAACTCAAAAAAGGCAGGAATCATGTACTGAAGTCACTATATTGGGTGTTCATTTAGCAAGGGAACATTTTGCTAAATCTGAATTAATTCCAGAGATGACTGTCAATCCTGCTCAAAAGAAGGTCAGAACTAAGAAACACACTGCTGCTTTATGCATTATATAATTTCTCAGATTCATGAGTCATATTCCCCTCAAGGTCTGTATAAAAACAAAACAAATTCCCATTTTGAAAATCAGTAGACATTTAATGTTGTACATAACATCTGCCTGCACCAAGGCTGGGTCATCACTTCAGGTTAATGCTTTGCCACCTGAGCTTTCCACTGGAACAGCAAATCTTTCACGCAGACATTTCAGATTTAACACAATTAAAAGCATCCCTTACTCATTCCTGTCAGATCTAGGTACTCTCTGTCAGACCTTAGGATTCTTGAGTTAATTCTTGGAACAACATTAGGCTGGTTCATGATATACTCAACCACATCTTGGTCATTAGATAGTTCACCCTGAAGGAAAGAGAAAAGAAGCATTATGTGTTACTTCACATATAAAATTGCCTTACATAACTTCAAAAAAAAAAAAAAAAAGGTAAAAAGCAATTCTGAAAGCTAAGTTGGCTTGTATAATATGTAGCTTTTCCAAATCTAGTTTCTCTCAAGCCTCAGAGGAGCTCAGCACCCACCAGGTACACGGCTCGCTGGAAGATGCTCGTGGTTTCCAGGATTTTGTGCATTGTCACAGTTTCCAGGTCATCAGGATCCAGCTGATCCTTTTGGAAAGGCATCCCATTGAAGAGGATGACAGGGAGAGGGCCTACACCAGTTTGCTCATAGTAAGCTCTTGCTGCCTAAAAACAGGAACAGAAGCAGCTTTAGCACGTCAGCCCCTGGCCACAAAAGTTCCTTACAAGCTGTGCAATATCCACAAGTCTAAACACACCATGAGATCCTCCCTACCACTTCTGTTAGACACACACAATGTATCTTTGAAACTCTCAGAGTTTCAAAGCAAAAAAAGTTACTTCACAATACAGAAGTGCAAAATACTCCTTTAAGTTCATTTTGAAAATTAATTCCAATGAGCACTTTCTGGTAGTGGCAAAAGATGCACAACAGAAAACATGGCTTTGCCTGTGGAAGCAAATGAAATGCAAGCAGTGATAGCTGTAATGTAAGACAGGGTAGGGAATTTTTTTTTTAAGTATGTATGTGTCTCTTAAATCTGTCTCTTAAAGAAAACAGCTACTTGTGAGGCAGGGAGTTATTTTGTCAAGACAAATTTCCCTGTTTCTTGTAACCTCTGAAAAGTGCACCAGCATTGACAGATACCCTGTTAGAAGTCAAAGTTAGGTTAGGTTCTCCCAATGAGAGGTTCTTGTTGAGGCCTCTCCTCTCATACAAAAATGTCTGTCTTACTTTTATGGATTTTCATTTCCTTAAAATGCTTTTCTCTTCACTATCCTGCATGGGAAGACTCATATGCATACAAGCCTATTTTCTGTAACCCTGACTGCATTCCTTACATTCACAGATGTAAGAAGCATCAAGTCTATTAAGAACTGTTGGTGACAGAATTTTCATTTGTTTTAGAACAAAATATAAGAAACATCCCCCTATAAAACCTCAAATAAAATCTGCTTTATCTCACATATAACATGGTTCAATAATTATTTGCTCTCCTAATTTTCTCCATACAGAAAAGTATCAGACCTAAAAAACACTTCAAGCATTATTTGCAGAAATTTGTTGGATGTCTTGCTATAGAAAAGGCATTTTGAACTCATAATCATGGCTTTATCTCACTCAGTATTCAAACACTGATTCAGAAGCCCCACACTGACCCCTCCCAACATTAAGGCTCTTGTTTTTTCCATGAACCATTCCATCACCTTGATTTTTTTGCAGACACTTTTAAACCCTACTGAAGTCTGCATTCCATAATGAAAGCATGAATTATGAGTCACAAGAAAGCTACCTTAGTTCTTTACATATAGATTTTTAAAAATATATATATTCCATTATATGTATTATGTATACTATATAAAGCTTGTGCTGAACATAAACAGTAAAGTATTACTAGAAATCCCCCAAGGTGGTAACAAAATAGTTCCCTGGTTAGTAATAGAAGTGGATCAAGAAATTGTATGTAATGATATTTTCAGAACTATTGCAGCAAAAGAAGTGGGGGGGAAAAAGCTCTATTTGATGAATTCTTACCTTTCTGTTTTGATCATAGGCAGAATCAATTCCCAGCACGCTGTTGATTTCCACATAAGGATACTGTTTCTCAAGAACACTAACAACATGTTCCACTTTCAGCTGGTCTCCCGTTTTCACTTTGTTATAAATCTGAAAGGGGAATACAAGTTTACAGCTGCAACTGTAAAGCCTCTGTCTTTATGAAAGGTAAACTGACCTGTCATCTGTATTACAGTAGCTATAATAAGGCATTAACAGCCAGACTGCAAAACTTACATTCATATTTATCAGTTGCAACAGTTCCTAAGCACTTGCAGCCATTATAAGTGTCTTGTTATACCTTGTAGTCATTCCACTGAGATTGGAAGAAGGTAAATATATATTTCTTTAAATAATAACTTGCATCTTTAATTAGAAAAGGTATTTGAGCAGGGAAAAGAGTTCTCTGGGGGAAAAAGCCTCAAATAAAGTATATCCAAGGAGCTACTTTTCCTTCAGAACTTGGGATATGTTTATGAACAATACAACCTCACAGGTAAAGCAGGAAACTCTTTCCCTCTTGAAGGCACAAGATTTTACTTCAAGCTACAAATACACACCCAAAATAAAAAGAATAAAAGTAACTGTCTTTAAGTAACCAGCAATTTAATGTCACAGTATGCCCCAGCTTGCCAATTTGTACAAGTATCAAACCACAGGTGAAATTCATTTACCAGCACCTGTATTGTCCTTTGATGTGGCAAAGGCACACAGCTGGAACAGTTCAAACCAAATTATAACATTGAAGGGATGGGGCAGTTCAGAACTCAAGAGACAGAATGAGCAAAGGGACAGGATCAGAAAAACGTGCCAAAGTGTTAAGTGTCACCATGAGACCTGTGTCACAATGAAACCTAGTCTCACTTGTTAAAGTTGGGTTAAAGAAGCACATTTACAAGGACACATGTGTTCTGTGGTCCCAGTATTTGGAGAAACTCTGCATACTACCCCAGCCAAAGAACAATTCCTTCCATTAGCACACATTTTAGCCCATTAACATAATCTTATACATGGAAAATATTAAAACATTCATTTCCCTTTTACATTAATACTTACAGACATGACGGTCTGGAAAGCATAATTATTGTCCATTTCTTGTGCCACATAATTGTATGTCCTCAGGAGGGCAACGCCAGCATCCTGAAGTCCATCAACATCCTCTGAGTCATTAACAACAAAGACTAGTCCTATCCTGCAATCACACAAATCCTCAGGTCATCATTTCTATAAAGAATCAACTCTTCACACAGCTGCTGGCTTTGATCATCATCTTAAACACAGGCTTCTTCTAGAATAGCCTGGGAAGATGTTGAGCAGAGCAACAAAGGAATCAAACTTAGGACATGTAATGAGTCCATCAGATTCTTGCTTTTCACCTCTCTCCCATCCAAAACTTCAAATTTCTTTTGGACTGTTAAAAAACAGAACTCTTTTTTGCTAGCAGAGAAAGTTACACTCAAAAAATACACACATATTTCAAACACAAGGAATGTAACATTTCTGCAGTGTCCTAGCAATGAGAATTTTACAGCTGCAAAAGTCACGTGAATAAAACTGGTGTAAAAAAACCCCAAACATTAAAACACAGCAATTACCTCAGTGGGATGTGGTTACTGAAGAACATTTCTGCCACATTCAGTAATTCTGCTGTGGTCTCATGAGTAGGATCTACTATCAGCACCTGTTTACAAACAGCAAGTGAAAAGTTTTCATGCCATGGCTGCCAGGATATTCTCTTCTGTCCCAACCCAGACAGAACTGGGCCATTCAGACTGCATGTAGGGCCTTTCATTCATGCAACTGTTGCCTTAGAATTTAAAAATTTCTATGTTAAAAGTATTGAATTACAGAGAAAAAGGAAACACATCAAAGCTCCCACAGCTTCAGATGATTCAAGTCCCTGTTTTCCCCTAATCAGAGTTCTTGTTTTGCATAGGGCCACTTTGCCACATGACAAGAGTTACAATTTGCAAACTATTCATCAGATCCAAGTAATTTACCTACAGACTAAAAGGACTTCCAGGACTAAGCTGAGGGCTGTTGATCATTTGCTCAAGTCTTGTCTAACTGAAACAGCTGAAGTTGGTCTTAACTCTGCTAAGAAGACAATGGTTAACAGATTTGACAGATTTTATTAACCAGCTTCAGGTATTATCATGAAGTTGAAACTCACCAAATTGTTATTTACCAGATTATAATTTTGTCCATTGACAAAACAACTCCAGGCATTTAATAGATGCCACAGAATCATGCTCAGGATTCTCTGAATCTCAGCCATAACTTACTAATACTAGGAGAATAAAACCTTTTAGAAAAGCATCCTCTCTCTCAAGCTATTTAAGTGACAGGGAATCCAGTGTATATGTGAGGTAAGCTGGAAAAGCTGATGCTCCTGCTCTTGACAAAACAAATGCACATTTCATGCAGTCAGATTATTACTTACAAAATTATGGAAGTTTTTTCTGATTTGCCTGATCACACCAGGAAAAGTGGGACGCAGCAGCTCCTGCACGCTGGAAGGCCAGGAATTGTACCGACTATCAACCTCCAGATTGTTGATCCACTAAGGAAAAGTAAAGGCATTTAAATGATTGACCATCCTCCTGCTCTGGTCTGAGACTAAAATATTTTCAAATCAGACACTATATTGAAGAAATAAAGCTTTTAAAAAGTGCTGATTATAACCTTATTATCCTTTTTACTTCACTGCAGTTTCAGAGCTGATTGTGAGACGAGGACAAAAGCTACCCTGACAGCTTAAGAATGCACTGCCCAACAGAAAATCAAGTATTTTTATCAAAAACCATACTCACTGAAATGGCAGGGCTTCTGATGTCCACAGCATAGTCAGAATCTGAAGGCTGGATGTTCAGCTTCAGGACATTGTGTAAGGAAATTCCCTCAATTCCCAAGCTGTGCAGGCCCTCCATAACGCGGGCTTCATTGCGAAGCACGTCAATCAAGCTGCAAGGAAAAGCAAAATGGGGTTGAATTCTACTCTTATTTAAGTTGAAAATAACTTGCTCATACCTTAAGTTAACAGATGAAAGGTATCAACAAGCCTGTCGTGCCCAGACATTAGTTCTTATTTATCACCTATTTCTTACTGTCCTAAGAAAGTGAAATCTATTCAAGTAATATTGTATAAGTAGGAAAAGCAACGTTAAATCAGGATAGCTAATCCACTATCTATATACACACACATGTATTATTGAAACACATCTTGACAAAGGTATAGGGTGGTTTCCAGATGAAAAATTTACAGTGGCTTATCCTTTGGGAATCAGTCTGTTGTCTTCAAAATAAATCTGTATGCTGACAGCTGAGAAAACAAAATCTTGCTAGTCACAGTACAGGTTAAAAGAACTGCACAAAGGTAACTTCTCATTCCAATCCTCAAGAGTATTCCAATTTTCACATTAGATTTTTTGTTGGAAATTCACTTTGAATAAGACAAGGAACCATGATTTTCTTTTTACAGTACTTAACAATTAAACATAGTCTAGATTATGAAGAAGGTTCAAAACATTATCATTCATGCACAAGCAAGATGCAAGTTTCCAAACAGGATGAAATTATTGTTAAAATTAAAACATTCCTACCTAAATATATCCTGAGTGTCTAAGTCAATAAGTAGTCCATTGATGAATAGGGCAGAATCTCCTGGTTGCAATCCTAATGTTCCCTTGAAATACTGAAAAGAAGTAGGAAGCCATTAGAAGAGTGCTCTGCACAGAAAATAATATTATAGAGTTTAATGCTGTTTTTTTCCAATAGGTCTTGTCTTGCAGTACCAGTTACAAACTTCTATTTAGAGTCATGATGAACACTGAAGGAGAAACATTGTGTTTGGATATTTTACAACACAACCATCATGAATACTGTGAGCAAAGCAAACAGAGGAATAACAGAAGTACCATGTGAAGTACCAAGAACAGGAAAGTAGCTTCTGATCAGAAAAAAATTGACATTTTTTATTAAATAAATAAGGCTCCCGAAGAAAAGCTGAGTGTTAAATTGTATCTTTCTGTGGATAGTTACATTGTAAACTCAAATGTAACAGTAGCAGTGAACCTAACTATCAAATAATACCCACACAAGTGAGTAGTGCAAAGAACAGCTCTGAAGGGCACAGTCAGATATAGCCTGGTCTGGATGTGGCAGCCCAGGTATCCTCTGCATAAAAATGAATCCACAAAATCATTTCTGTTTTACTTGTGGACCAGAGTCTGATCTAACACACAACAAAAAGGCCACCAGGTACCTTTAGCTTGGATTTGCATCCTATACTTCATCCCTTCCAGAACCACATGGGACAAGAATTTCAAGTCCCATCCCTTCACCTCTGATTCCATCACTATTGAACAACAAGGCATTTCTCTCCCAGAACAGGAACCTCAGGGGACTTGTAAGTAGCTCTGCATTTACTGCTAGACTCACTAATATTTATCTATATTAGATAAATATAGATATTTATCTAATAAATATCATTTATTAGATTTCTAAACAATGTGTGTGTGTGTACTTAACAGACATTGTCTTTTTTCTAATGATACAAATAAGACTGAAATGTGTGAACAGAGCAATGTAGCTCAAAGAGCAAACGCTGCTGTTTGACTTTTTTTAATTGCTATCTTAAACTGAAACTGTTTTGCACTCTATCCAGACCACACTACCCGGCATATTTTAGTTGCACAAATTTCTGTACAAAAGCCTGTACAAAATTCCCAGGTGGCTGTTGGTTTTTTCAGTGCTTTGCTAATGCCAAGGACACAGCTGAGCTGTCTGAAACACTTCTGCAAATACAGAGCCTACTCAGTGACCTCCAGAGGCCCCTCATGACCTGGGGAGTTTTATGATTCTGTTTCAAAGCACATCTAGACTTAGCTGGTAAATTTTATCCCTTCACTAAGCACCAACATTGAAAACATTTCCTCCACACAGAATGAAACATTCTAAAGCCATGGCAGGTTTTGAATTTTTTTCTGTGACTTCCTAGTGATCACTGATGTACACAGACATCTAAACATCATCTCAAATTGGATAAGGAGAACTAATTTTCTTCTGCATTGTTCAAACTGTAGGAAGATGCTTAATATACCTGCTTCTCAAGCAATAAATTTCTAACCAGAGCAGTATTTTCATATTTGACCAAAGAAGTTTAATAATGCTCCTTATCCATGTTTGAAAATCCATCACTTCTTCACTTCCCAGATGCATACAACAAAATTGTGTGTGAAGATACTGGGTCATTATCTTGATCAACATGTAAACCTAAGTGCAAAGGCACTGTGTTACTTTTTAGACACATTACCTTTTGGTTCTCTTCAATTTCTGCTCTGAGTTCCGAAGAAACAACTGTTTTTGTTATGGCTCTACAAAAATAAAAACATCATGCTATGAATCCTCTTTCTGTTTATCTACTGCATAGATATCTACTTATCCTACCTTTTGTACCTTACATATTAAAATAATTAACTTTCTAGTATAAAGAGGTGCAGCAAGAAGCAGTTGCACTTGGTGACATCATAAATAGTAGGATGCAGCATTTTTTTTACACTGTATAATCCAGCAGCACAAAAGTGTTAACCATATACCAACTCTCAGTGTCTAATTTCACATTAACCATAATAAAAGTGTGCAGCTGCTAAAAATGTAAAGATGGAGGCTGACAACAGAAAATAAGGGATTTCACTGCTCATGATGGGTTCCCATTCCTTTCCTTACTTTGGATCCAGTGATTGCATCATCAGAGTGGGTGAGCAGAGCCCACAGATCAGCCTGAAAACACAGTGAGATGCAATGCCTGCCTTAAGAAGCTCTAAGTAACAACCACAGGTAATGGGAAATAAGACCAAAAATCAGTTTATTTTTACATTCATCTCAGGTATAATCCCACCTAGTCAAAATGGTACTGTAATGTCATCTTCACAATCCAGACAATGAAATTTATCAAGACAAATACATCTCTAGACTGGCTGGCCATGCTAGGTCATACTGAGTTTTTTGAAACGGATTTGAATTTGTTAAAGACAGTCACTGACAAAGTGCAAAAACCAGTGGAATTGCACATCAGCTCTGACATGGGACTGACTGGGTTGCTTGGCAATGTGGACCCCAGAAAAAGATTGGGACCCTGTGAACAAATAAATGTTAAGATCATTAAACAGAAAACCCAGCCATTAAATTCTCGATGACTTTATGTAATAGGTTTAGATGCATTTCACAATAAAATAGCATGGGCAAGTCTGGCAAAGTTTCTACCAGGCCACATCAGCTGCCATCCAAGAAAAACACCATAAAATCCTCTTTGTAACAGTAGGCTGAAGAACTTCCCAGCATAAACATTCCCCAGTGTTTGCTTCCAGCCAAATGAAAATCAGAATTAACCCAACCAATGCTGCTTGTCTCAGGTCCTGCTCAGGAAAAGGAGAGGAATAAAATTTTCTAGGAGTCAAAATTAAAGTTACCTGGCCTTTGTAGGAAAGTTCTGACTAAGATCTTTCATGACCATCAGGGCATCCACAGGGGGAGCAGTCAAAATGCGAGCAGCAGTTTGAAAACTCAGATCTTAGGAGTGAAAAAACAGGTCAACAATTCAAAACTGAAAACAAGGCAATCCAGAGACATCTCAACTTTATCTTGCAACTTTTTTGCATGTTACCTAAGGAAATTCACTTTCTTTGAACACCTATGAGCACTTTTAAACTCATCTTTGTGTTCAACTTCGATGTGTTGCCTTGAAGTAAGTAACCCTCTCCAAGTGAAGCAGAGTATGCTGCCTACAGGTTGTTTCAGTGAGTCCAGACCAACACTCCTTTTCTTTGGCTGAGCTGGGAGGATCTGCCCTTCCACTGATATAGGTAGATTGCCTGTGGCTACAACATACATTCAGCTCCTTGAATTAGTCTTTTTGAGAGGATGAAAAGGTTTTTTTATGGGCTTCTATAGATGTTTTAAGGGAATGAGGCCAAAGCAGCATGTAATTGACTTTGAAGTACAGTTTTCCTCTGATCTTGAGACATCTTGAGATTTCACATCAGAAGTGTGATCATGGAAAGAAACTTTGCCTTCCTTTCTTTTCTGCATTCAGCAGACCATACAAGCAGCCTTGAGAAATCTCAAGATTTCACATCAGAAGTGTGATCATGGAAAGAAACTTTGCCTTCCTTTCTTTTCTGCACTCAGCAGACCACACAAGCAGTTTAACAGCAAGTAGCTTACTGTACTTCATAATATAGAAAACTATCCTCATGTCAGAAGTCCCATGAAACAATGCCAAAAGCTATTTCAACAGGAAAAGGTACTTTAAAAACCAAGTCTTTCCCAAGTGAGGCTGAATGCAGGAACTTACAGTCAAACTCTGTCAACTGTACACAGCCACTAACAACCTTGATAGTGTAGAACACCAGAAAACATATTTACATTGAGTTTTTGTAGACCATAACTGAAAGCCTTTATCCAGATTACCTTGGAGCTGCCATACTTTCAAAGGTGCCATTTCATTGGTACTTTCCACGAGATGTTTTCTGAGCTCTTTCAGCTCTTCTGACAAGTCAGGATACAGCTGCCTAAAAGGATACAAGGGTCAAACAACTCCTGTGGTTTCCTATCAGAAAGTCTGCTGCTAATTTAAAGAAACTACCACATTAAAAAGTATGCTGCTAACACATACAGGAAACTCAGACATGTAAAAAATAGTAATAAAGCAAAAGATCAGCATTTTTGCAACAAGTTTTTTGATATGACAAAGTCCAAATGGGTTTTACCTTAGTTTTCCAAACAGAAATCCTTGCACTTCATCAATAGGGTCATTTTCATCTATGACTGTAGCATTCACATCTGTGCCTATAAACACACAGAGAACACCACTAGCACCAAGCTACCCCCAAAGAGAAAAGCAGGAAAATCTGGGGTGTGTATATGCACATGTAAAGTACACACACAGATTACACTATCAAAATAATTTTGGCAGATGCATGGGAGTTTGTAGAACAAATATCAGTGCTCCATAAAAGCAGCAAAACCAAAAAAAGTGCAGCATTCTGAGAATTCTGTCTTTCCCTCCCCCCACCAAAAAAAAAACCCAAAAACCAAAAAAAAAAAAAAAAGAGGAACAGGGAACACAGTCTGCTCTGAGGATGGCTGCAGAGTAGCTGGTAAAAAATTATTTTCATTAGTAGTGCCACTACTAAGATCTAGTCCAGGGCCATGACTCCAGGATTTCACAAATGTGGAAGTGCCATGGCAAAGATCTGTTCCATAAGGAACATGCTGCCAAAAGGGATTTCAGAGCTAAGGAAAGAAAAATATCTGCAATACAGACATTCATAGAAAAACGAGAATAAAATTATCTTGGCGGAATTAAAATATTCACATTAAAATATTACAAATAAAAATTCACCTTTCACCTGGGTATCATCCTTGGCCTTATATTCTGTACTTTTAATAGCCAGTTCTACACCATAGCCAGAGAGGTAGACCTTTTCCTTACTGGGATTCTGTAAGGAAAAGCCAACAGTGTGATATTGTCATCTTTGTTTGATCCAAAAAAGAAAAACTACCACTTCCCAAAGCTGAGAAATCTCAGTCTGGGATTTCAGACATAATGGTAGAGAGAAACAAACACTGTGACTGACTCTGCAGTAACATAATCTAATAATTTTATTTCCTACTGGTTTTCAACACACTTCTTGAAGTTCACCAAGCAAGAATTATCTCTATGAACCGAAAAACCATCAAAATCCACAAAGTAAAGAGGAACACAAAGCAATGTTTTCAGGATTCAGTGTGTGAGCAAAGCAGGGGGAGATAGAGTCCTATTATCAAATCAGATGGAGGGTGGAAAGGAACTTCAGCTCAAAGTTCAAAAATGAAACTGAAAATTCACTGAAAAGCTACCACAAAGAACGACAAGGAATAAAATAATGACAAAACACAGGTACATAATTAGCTCTGCCTTTAATAAGAGAAACATGACCACTTCCCAAAAGTATTTTGAAGTATATTGGAGTCACATAACAGTACCAAGATCTAAAGTGTAATATGCTGAATTTTCAATGTTAGCACTCCTCCCAACACTGATAAACAACTACTTCCTTTTATAAAAGGAAAGGAGAGTATGCAATGTATGACTTTGTTTTATAAAAAGTACAAGTAATATTAGAGATTAACCAGCTTTTTTTTTTTTTTTCCCCACATTCAAGCCTGACTGCTACACTACAGGTTTTGGCAATACTTAGTAATATTCAAGTAACAAATCAAAGAACTCCAGGTCTTCATACCTTTTGAAATGTAGTTTTAAACATTAATCCAGTGGCTATGCACAATTTAGTGGAGGAAGATGGAAACCAGGATAAACTGCACTAGAAATGGTAAGTGGTTCTGTAAAAAAATTACTACAGAAACGTCTTTCTTTTGAAAATGCTACCTAAATGTTAATCCTTGCTTTTTATATCAAGTAACTAAAGTAACTAAGTGACCTGACTGTGACAGATCTGACTACTTCCCATGCTGTAAAATGGGTAGAGAAACACTTTATTTTACACTAAAATCTCTAATTATTCTGGAATTTAAGTCTGGATTTGTGAAATCAAACAATCTACTTAAAATCTTACTCTTACAAAAATCTTACTCTCTTATAGGAGATTTAAAATATTCTGTATTCCTCAGCTACATACAATTTAAAAAAACAACCTTTGAGTATTCCAAGTAAATTAACAATAGGCAAATGTCAATTTAAAGGGAACAAACCTGAGTCAGATTTCTTTTTGAAAACCAAGGCCAGTTACTCAATTTCAAATACATCTGTTACAATGCACAAATATACTCACAGCAATGTAGTGTCTGAGCACATAAGTGATTTCTCCTGCCTCAGCCTTTGAAACAAGCCTCCTGTGGTGCCTGTAGAACTCCTCTGAGCCAATCTCTGCATAAAGTATGACCACAGGACTTTCAGGGTTTGCTGCTGGGTACTTGTGGTCCCCCTTGAACAAAAATGGCTTTGGCCTAAGAGGGAACAGTGAAGAGTCACAGTGTGAGTCACAGCATTCCCTCACTCAATGCAAAATGCACTTTTTTTTTCTGTTTATTCATTTCTCACTGAATACATATGTTGAGCTATTCCCACATATTATATCAAGGCTGGCAGCACTTGGTGCACGTTGACAAAAGCTTTGTGAAAAATGAACACATGAGAAGAAACAAGTGACTAAGAGCTATTTGGAATCTAATATGATCCTAATTTTAAAAATGAACAACTTCCCTTAGATTTCCAATTAACTTTCTCTCCCCATGGTGATTCATAAATTCTGTATGAAAAATTAAAAGGCTGCTAGAACAGATGTGCCAAGAGCACCAATTCATTTGAACCTGGTCCTTGGCTTAGTATGCAAACAAAAAAGTGAATGAAAAGTCTATTTTCAGCTTCTTTGTTTACATTTTGTCTAAAGTGCAATAAATACTCAAAGTATTCCCAGTAAGTGAGAAGAATAGCATGTGAGCTATAGATGCCATATGCCTGCACATTGACAAAGAACTCTTCATTCTTAAAACAGCTAAATAACCAAGATTACAAAAATCGTATTGAAAACAAAAGTGTTTTTATATTATGAAAACAAACTGAAATTTAAGGATTTGGGTTGATTTTGATTTCTTACTTGTTTAGTTTTTAAAATAAGTATTATATTTTATACCTTCTTTTTGTTATTAGCAGTTACAATCAAGTTTTGTTCTTATAGAGAAATCTGAATTTTAAATATATTGTGTGGTAATGGTTTTCTTTGTCAATGCTGAGAAAACTATACAGAGAAAAAAATACTTGCTTGCTTTCAGCCATTCATAAAACAATTTGTTAAACATTAACTCTCATTTGAATATGCAGCCCAGCTCCTTCTATTTTCCCTACATACTGAAGGTTTTACACACTCCTGAGAATTCTTGCTGTCCTTCAACAGTTTCCAGCTATTTCCAGAATTTGTTTTCAAATTTTCCTGTGCATATTCCTCTTCCTAGCAGAATCATCAAAGAGCAAGTGATAAGAAAACCATCATTGCAATCTGAATTAACACCAAATAAGAGACTGCCATTCCAGTGCCAACAATGGACAGGAGAAATCAGCATTGAAGAACACAGAAACAAAAAGTTTATTACAACCTCTTCACAGAAATAAGTCTAAAGTTAGTTAAATTTTAAGAGCTAATCCAGTAACAGGAAATTAAACAAATACCTGTCTGAAGCTGCCTGTAAAAGCTTTCCAAGAGAGTCAAATTCACATGTTTTCTCTCCATGCACAACAAAAAACAGGGTACAGCCCTCTGGTGGAGATTCATCTGCTGCTATCTGTATAAAACATTCATAATAATGTAGGTTGAAGGTTTGCCCTTAGAACCAGTGAAAATTGTAACAGTGTAGCTGTGCAGCAAACAGTATTATTTCCTACATTCCAAACCAGTACTTCTTCTGTGTTTATGACATAATTTAAATGCAAGGTGAAATGGCAAGATGGAGAGTTAAGCCTTTACTTATTTTCAGTCTGTTATATTAACTGTAAGGTTAGTTGCAGGTACAGAAAGCAAGGGGTTTTGGTTGAGGGTTTTTTTTTGTCTTAGACATCACAAAAATCTGTATTTGTTAAATATCAAAAGACAAAATTACACCAGATGAACAAGGAAGAGATTTTACAGTATTACTTAAATAAAGCACATCCTAATGTCAGACAATTTCCAAAGAATTAAAAATATTTAAAAAAGAACAGAGAACACAATGAACTTTTATTTATGAGTTCTAAGCTCTCTCTCTCTCTATATATATATATACACACACACACACATAGATATATATATGTATTACTATCTACAAGTAAGTTCATATGAGCAACAGGAACAGCAGCAGCATCCCAAGTACCAATGGAGTCACAGAGATGGTCCTCACAAAAATCTTTGCACCAGTTCTTAGTGCAGCAGGCACAAAGATATACAGACATATCAAAATGCCAATTCTTTAGTCTATTCTAGACAAAAATTCAGCATCTCATGAAATTTGTATACACATCCACTCTGCAGCTCAGGTGGACAGAGCAGTTAATCAGTTCAGGTTTTTTATATCTCAAATGTTTCCTTCCACAGGTCCCTCCTTCCTGAGCCTTGGTAAAATGCTCTGCACAAGCATTTCATTTACCTGAGCATTTCCTGTACTAACCTGCTGAAAAGCTTGAACTGCTGCAGAGTAGGAGCGTAAAGACAAGGAAAATTTCAACAAATTCTGCTGCAAAGGTGACAGAGTCTGGCAGGCCACTTTCAGCATTTCCTGGTAAGAAGAATAATCACTACCTGCAAAATCAAAGTACAAGCAGTTATCTTTCTATCCCATAGTCTCACTGAAGAGAGGCTTCTCATCCTAGTGTGATTTGCACCCACAGAAGCCCATGACATGAATTCTGAGTATGCAATGACCATTCCTCCCCCATTTTCATTACAGCCAATTCCACAGATGGATGAGAGTGAACTTCAACAGAGACCCAGGACAGTACACTTCAATACATTCCTGAGGATGTAAACATGAGCAGGGGAGGAGGGAAACAGTTTAGAGCTCCCATTTAATTTCAGCTGAGAAATAGTAACACACAGAAAAGGCTTTTAAAATATTTCATACTTCATGTCAAAAAAGAATCTGGCAAGCAAAACGTTTCAGGCTCATCCAGTACAGCTTTTGTCAAATGGATACCCAAAAGCCTTGAGCACATTACAGAAAAAAAATATTACTGAAATAATTATTTTATAAAAGTCAAATGAGGATTAACATAATGGAAGACAGAATACTGTGGTATGTTTTTTAACTAGCAGTCAGCATTGAGAAAAAAGACTATGAAAACTTACCATCATGCTCAGCTCTCTTAATATTCTCACTGGCTTCAACAAAATTCCAGAATTTTTCTTGACCTTCTTCTGATAAAAATTCACTAAGTAAGATGAGAAGAGTGAGTTAGATCTACAAATTTTCTCTCAAGTTACAAATCTGATACCCTGTAATGCTTTACAGAAAGTTAGCACCTACCACCTCTATCAGCAAACTGTTACTAGAAAAAGCACTGCAGGGTTAGCACCTACCACCTCTATTAGCAAACTGTTACTAGAAAAAGCACTGCAGGAAAGCTAAAAACAAACAAACCCAAACAAATAATTACTGCAGACCAGGATGAACACACAGTGCATGCAAGCAGCTTGTAAGGCACCTCCTGATCCTTTAAATGCCACTAACAGGCAGCAGTGTCCATCCTGGCAGCTCTCCCTCCTAATTCACTTCTTTGCAATCTCTCTTTTATGAGAAACAGACATTTTTGTTTATTTTGCTGAAACAAACTGTAATTATGAGCTTTGGTGGGCTTTGGTGGAGATTTTCTGTTTGCTTGCTCTTGAGCAAGCAAAAGAAGTCACAGCTTCAAACCATGTTACAATTCCCATATATTAATCATATAATGGGTAAGCATACAAGGCTAGATAATGAAATTCATCCTCTGAACATTGCTGAGCACAAACACTGTATCATGTCCACACATGTAACAGACTTGCTAAGCTAAAGGATGCTACAGCAGAAGGTTTGGAGCCTGCTCACTGCCACAGTAACTTGTGTGCTCCAATGCAAGGGTAAGTGCTGCTGGAACACCTGGGCAACAAATTGAAGGGCTGGGCTAAGTGCAGTGACCAGCAGGAGTGATTTTACACTGCAGGGCTGCATCATGCTGCAGTTCATCCCAGGTGAACTACCCTGCCCTACACAAAGCCTCTGACTACAATGGATCGAGTCTTTGGCACATTATTTTGATTATTTGCTTACTGTTTCACACTCTCTTAGGTTGAGTTTTTCCCCAGCAGTGTCACATTGTCACACAGTCTCTCAATCCTGGCATTAACACCTGTGTTCTGCATTTTACTGCTTAAGGAACTTTCAGTCTTCAGCTTCTCCAGAGAAGGTTACAGAAAAGTAATTTCACCTAGGACACACCTGTCCTGTGAATGAAAGCCATGCTGATGTGAATGAAACCCAGCAATGCTCAACTATTTTCATGTGGAACAGCTGCAGTAAAACAGACAAAATTCCACATTTGGCAATACTCTTAAGTGATACAAAATTAAGCACACACCAGCTTGAAATTCTAGAAGTCCTACTGACATCTCCAAACTAAAACATTACAAAATTAAAAATGAGGGATTTCAAAATCACTAAGCAGACTAGCACTGAAAAGACAGCATTTTGTTTTCTTTTTACACAACACCTTAAAAATAAAGCCTTTAATACCATAGCAGAAATGTTCCCAGGGTGACTTGCACAATATTTAACAAAGCAATTTACTTTAATCAATGCAAAACTCACATGAACAAAGTTAAACTCAAGCTTTACTGAGCTAAATATACACGAGCAGCAGCTGTGTACCAAAACCTACAACACTGATGTAAAACACATTCAGCTACAGAATCTTACAAGACCACGATGAACTCCTCTATCTAATGCTTTAAGTAAAACTTCATAAAGCAAAAAATACCAACTATGTAATTGTTTATGGTTATTAATGTTTGTTCTAATGCAAAATGAGAGAATTTATCACACAAAACAACTACTGTCTCCTCTAAAATCCTCCTCCCATCTCCCCATGCACAGCAGGGATCACATTCCCACATTATTACTGTTGGTAGTGACCAGAAACCAAAGTGCCACATAACAAAGAGAACACTTTACTTTATCCTCTAAGCATATTCTGATTTGACAGTGAAAAAAAAGTCACAATGCACCTACCTTGTTTCAAGGAGTAAAGGAGTTGAAGACCACTTTGTAGTTAGAGATGTTGTCACAGCCTTAGAATCTGCTTTTACAAGTGAAGAGCTGAACCAGACTCCAAGAACTGCAATAAGTATTCCCATTTTACAGGAGACTGAAAATGATGAAGGAAAATAATAAGTTTTGCATTGTCTCTTCTTATAAATACAGGATCTCAAATATATTGAGACACATGTTACGATTTTAAGACTGCATTTAATGAGATGATCACACTCTCACCTGGGCTTACAAAATCACAAACTTGAAGAGAGGCAAGGAATTTACAAACTTACTCCTGAGATGCAATTAAACCTAAATCAATTCCAGCTTCCTCTGTGTTTATGCTTTCAAATAATGTTTATGTTTCTGTTCCAGGACACCAACACCACAAACTTCTTGCTTTGAGAGGTATTACAAACTGCACACATTTCAGATTGGGGGGGCAAACAACCCACATTTTATAAGAAGTAAAATCACACTTTGTGTTAGCAAAGATCCAGCAGCTATGGACTAATCCAGGCAAGGGTGAGCTTCCCCAGTCAGTCCTTTAGGTTTTTGGGGAATGAAGAAACAAGTATTTCCTGGCTGCACTAAGCATCACCACATTTAAAAGCTGAAAAATGAATGAAATCACACAAACAGACTCAAATGATACAACCTACTGTGAGAAATGACCAAAAAAACCCCAAATTATTCCATTTCTTTATTGTCCTTCATTTTGTGTATTTTCAAGCCTTTTTACTCTCTGGCCTACATCCCAAAAGAAAGCCAAGAGAAATTTACTTGCCCACAACTCCTGAGCTTATGGAAGACCTGAATTCTTCTGTTGGTTTTCCATTACAGTCTCCAAAAGTTCAAGCTGTTTTTGCCCCTCTCTGACAATAGTATATTTATATTTACTACACCCCCAATATGCACTCAAGTATTCTTTCATTTCTTTATCTTTTTTTTTCCTGGACAACTCATTTTCCATGTCTCCCCTGCACCTGAAAAAATGTCCTGTTGCAATTCTACATCTATCCCACCCAATAACCTGCAAGGATCTAACTTCTGTCTCCTTTTTATTACAATCTCAATATAAAGAATATAAAGAATAGGGTTATATATCTGTAGCTCTAAGCTACCTGTACATATACACAGACAAACAAACAAATCCTGCTCTCTTTAGAAGTTTACACCCCTCCAGCCAAATGTTTCCCAACAATAACTCAGACATTGTTGTTTCTCTGCGAATAAAACCAGAAATTCCTGCTGAGATCTCCAAAGAGCAGCTTGGTCAGCTGCACACGACATTTGCTTTATGCCACACCTGGGAAGCAGACAGATGGCATCACAGAAAGGGCACAGCCATCGCTCCCTGTGTGCAGAGGGGGAAGCTCAGCCAATATTTGTGGAGTGAAACATTGGCTTCTGCCAAGTGCAAGGAAAAACCACAGTGCACAGATCCTCCCAGAGATGGGTCCTCCTTATTCTCTGCAAATCACACACTGGAGTTTGGAATAGGTAAATGAATATACACAACAGCACTCTCATGGCTAAAGCTCCTATGCTGCTCCCTTGTGCCTGCCTTCCTGCTCTGGGAAAGACTGAATTAAAAGCCTTTTTCTGTATGAAATAGGAAAGAAACCAAATGACACGTCTGACACTTGACACAGTTTAGCCAACTGAAAACCTGCACATTAGAAGTATCTACAATTCCTCAATAACAGCCATAAAACAAAGGAATGACCGGTATCTCAAATTAAAATACACCACGGAAAGAGGCAAGAGGCACGGGAATGAACAAAAGTGACACAAGGAGATCCAGCTCTGTGCCAGGTCACAAAGCAAAACCCAATCTGAATTACAGCCCCGCAGAGCAGTGTAAATATTTTTCCTCCTTATTTTTCTTCCAATTACTCCGTTTAAAACACTCCTGGAAACTTGCACATCCAGCCTCGGGGGAAGGAATAAATCAGCCTACACTGACAGCCAGTGCTCTCTGCCATGCCCTGCGGGGTCAGCCTGGTGGCAAGCGGGTGAAGGGCAGTGGAAAGCGGGAGCGAGTCGGCTGCGGGCACAGCGCTGAGGCACCGGCCGGGCACGGCGCAGAGATGCCGGTGTCAGCGGGCACCGATCGCGCCGGGGAGCACGTCCCGTACAGGGCTCCCGCCGCCGTACTGCGGCCGCGGGCACCGCACCACGGCGATCTAGCCCGGGACCAGAAATCAGCCACTGAAGCGCGGAGCAGCCAGGCTCAAGGCACACATTAAACCCGGCCCGTCGAGGCGTTAATGCTGCGGGGCGATAAACCCGAGCACAGCCTCCGCCGCTCCCCGGTCTCCGATGACCGACCCCCGCGGGGCGCGGAGGCCGCTCGAAGGACCCCGCCGGTGTCGGCCCCTCCGTGGGGCTCGCCCCGGCCGCCCNCAGTGACGGCGGGGCCGGGGCCGCCCGGGCCCAGGGCACGGCCGTGCCCACAGCAGCGGCTGCTCCCGGGCTGCTGTGCGCTCTCGGTTTGAGCAGGTAGCGCCCGAAGCAAAGGCAGAACCGTGGGTTTTGTGACATTACCTGGCCCGTGAGCGGTCGCCAGCCTGTGCTGCTGGAAGGAGACCCTGTGCAAACAACTGCTCCTTTATGCACAGTGCAGAGACCGGGCGGGGGGAGGGAGTGAAAGCAGCATAGGGCAGATTAAAACCAGCCGTTCTTCATGTATCTTCTCTGCACCTTTTACACGTTGTCCGTCAGAGCTCCCTGGTCCGTGCGGAGGTGCGGGCTCCGCTCGGCTCTGTGCGCTCCGTGCCCAGCTGCCCCGGCCGCGCCCTCTGGGCCTTCCGCGGGCTCCGGCGCCCTCCGAGACACGGAGGTGCTGCAGCGGCACTGGGTGTCGGGCGAGACGTGGAAAGGCAGAAGGAAGCTGTAAGCCAGCCGGGCAGAGGGGAAGGGAATGTCTCGGGAGGGGAGCTGAACCGCGGGACAGGCGGTGGCTGCTGCGGGCCTGGAGAGCCACACGCACAAACTGCTGCTCCTGGCACAAACACGAACACTGTTGGTGCTCCTGTTCACAACACAAACGCTAAGGTTTGCGAGGCAGACACAGGGATTACTTACATGTGATCCAAAGGTGTTCTTCCCGGTTTCGTTTTAAAACATTATTAAAACTCTGAAAGTGGCAGGTGTCTGGCTGAGTTCATATCTGAGCGTCAAAACGTGAGAATATCATGAAGAATGGTTGTGTTCTGATGTGTCAGTAAGCAAAAGCGAGGCAGCCAGCCCTGCACTGGTGGTCTCTCAGGGCTCTGATGTGCGTCTTCTCCGAGGTTTGTGGGTTTTATTATCTTTTTCCCCCCTCTATCCCAGTGATAGGGGAGGGTGGAGTGCCCCCCCTGTATCCCCTTGTTCCTTCCCAGGACGAGGGTTGAGGACGTCGGAGAACCCCCGGGGTGCCTGGGGGATCCCCCCCGAATTTTAGGAGGTTTGGGGTGCTAAGCCCCAGGGATCCCCAGATTACCCATGTCCTCATGTCCCTTTCCAGGATTGGTGGGAACACTTTGGGCGGCCCCTCCAGGAAGTTTTAGGGGACCGCCCGAATTATGGCGGGTTTGGGATGTTTTTGGGGTGCTGACTCCCTCTGTGCCCTCCCCAGGGACGCCCAACGCATTCCCGCCGTGTCCTCTTGTCACTTCCCAGAGTGGGTGTTGGGGGGTGTGAGGGGTGTTTGGCTGGGTGTGCAGAGCAACAACGGGGTGCGGAGCTGGGGCTAGCGGCCGGAGCGGGCCCGCGGGGGCTGTGTCGGGCCCGTGAGGGCGGTGTCGGGCCCGTGGGGGCGGTGTCGGGCCCGTGAGGGCGGTGTCGGGCCCGCGGGGGCTGTGTCGGGCCCGTGAGGGCGGCGGCGGCGGGCCCGTGGGGGCTGTGTCGGGCCCGCGCTGGCAGGCGCGGCCCGGGGGTGACCGCGGCCTGCCCCGCCCACCCCGCGTCTCCTCGGAGACCTCGCCGCGCGCGGCCAATGGCGCGCTCGGGCACAGCACCGCCCCTCCCGCGCCTCGCGAGATCGCTGCCCGCCACAACCCCAGCGCGGACTACATCTCCCGGCGGCCCCGCGGGGCGGGCTCAGCAGCCAATGAGGCGCGGCAGCCCAGGGTAGGCGGGGCTGGCCGGGGCCAATCGGGTGCGGGCAGCTGCAGCGGCGGAAGCGGCGCTCGGCAGCGGCGGCGACGCGGGGCGACCGGCCTCAGGGACCGGCGCACGGCACCGCCCCGGGCACAGGTACTGCCGCGGCCGGCGCACGGCATCGCCCAGATCTGCGGGCCGGGGCTGGCTCCAAGGAAGGGCTGCGGGTAAGGGGCGGCGGCCGCCGCTTCACAGCGCGACGGCGGCAGGGGGGAAGCGAGCCTCCGGCCGGCGGAAGCGCCGCGCAGGGGATGTCACGAAGAGACGGCATCAGGGCAAAGCGGCACGGCGCGGCCCGGCCCGAGGCGGCGGGGCCGTCGCGCTGCCGGGCACATCCGGGCCCTGCGGCCCATCGCGGCGGCGCGGCGGGGCGGGGCGCGCAGGGCGGGC